ATCAGACTAGGTCCTCTGTCTTCCCTCTAAATGTCCCCTGGCCCGTGAAGGAATTTAAGATCTACATGTGGTTTAGAGGAAAGAATGTGGTTGGTGGGGCAAATAGCCAAGACACCTCACCTTTCTGAGCCCCTATGGCTCCTCCTACAAAATAAGCATGAAATGGATTAATCCATGGGAAACTGTCTATCACAATGCCTAGCATGCAATAAGTGGTCAATAAATGCTAATTTTCTTCCAGCCTAAATTAAAATCACGGTGCTATTCGGAGAGAAAAAAATAACTCTTTGGGCCACTTGCCTGAGGCATGTTGATGTACAACTCATTAGGTAGTGGTATTGCAGAAGGCCTGTGATTAATGGCATAGAAACCTGATTTAGTCCAATTCTGTTCAGAAAAGGAGTGCTAAATGACCAACCTGGCTTTTCATTGTAGAAATCACCATAAAATCGAAGAGACCTGGGATAACAGAGTAGTACTTTTTTTTTTTTTTGTAGCTAGCACACATGGAAGCACATGGAAAGTCATTGTAATGCAGGAACTTAAAAAGAGCAAATGTGCTTTTTAACACAAGCTGTCCATGCTTAATTTTAGTGGTAGGAAGCCATCAGAAATTACAGTCATCTATTTTATGGATGAGAAAACTATTGTCCAAAAAGTTTCTTTCAATGAATATATTTTGAACATTTATTGTGAGATATTACCTAGATGTGCAATTACTTATCTCCTCAATCCAACCCGATATTTACCGCATACTGTATTTCCTCAAGAGGTTTTTAATGAGTGAGTAAAAGAATGAATTCAGAAACTTGCCCAAGGTCACGAATTAGTAACTAGAGGAACTAGAACTACAGCCTCCCCTCCCCATCTCCTGACTTCCTGCTTAGTACTCCTGGGTGAGCCCAGAACATGCATGAAAATAGCTAGGAAAATTCAAGCAGGTGTCTTGGATCTGCTTCCTAATCACTGAGCTAAGCCCACCCAGGAAGCATAAATGCAAACAACCCCCTGGCACCAGCGCATGAAGGATGTTCAGTTTTCCATAATTCAGTGTCTCTGAGTCAATCCCTTCCCTTGCAATGGTGATGTCCTACTAATGCCTTATATAAAAGGGGCTTTACCTCCATTAACCCTTTAAATAGCCCTGACTTCACTTTGTAGGGCCTCTGTGTTTCAAAGTCTAGGGATACAGAGGCCTTAGAACCAGAATTTTGTTGGTCAGCCAGTACTAAGTGGTGTACAATGGATTACTAAATGAAGAATTCTCTCATTTACTCTTTAGGAACAAGAAAGAGAGGCACAATGTCATTACTTAGAGGTGTTCTGACCCATGATAATCAAAGAGTACTAAGAGCCTAGAATTTCTAAGCAAATTTCTCTTCTAAGTATAGATACTACTATATTTACAAATCATGAAAACTCACCTGATAAAGGCCTTTCAGACATCATTCACCCTTTCTCAACTCAGGTTCCTTATCTGAACTACAAAACATAGAAAATTATTTGAGTGACTGTCCTATATTCTTAGGAGAGAAAGTGATCTATTACATGCAATGGATGCTCTAGGGGCATTAGGACTTAATTTTCTCAGGAAACCCTGTCTGAGAAACATGCTACAGTAATCCAATATACCTACAAATTGTGAATACATCACACCTGTTCTTACTCATCCCCCCCATACACACACACACACACACACACACACACACACACACAGAAACTCTTCCAAAAAAGTTGCCCTCTTTTTATGAGCTCTTAGCAATGAAAATTGTTGCATTACCTCCAAAATTTCTTCAAAGAAAGGAAAAAATTCATCTGTATTCATGTTATAGGAAGACATTATTTTTTTCTATTTGGGAAACATAACAGGAAGATCAGCAAATCTTTTGTAGATATGCAAATATAATTCAAACAAAAATAGAATGCTGGTGTATTTGTGATGGAGAATACTAAATGGATTTTGCAGGCAAGTTAGACCAAATTGCATTCCTCTGAAGTATTTGGGGAGTTATTTCTAACTTTGCAGTTAATCCACAAATAGTTCCAGACCATAACCCTCTTAGATGCTTTGGAGGACATGGCAAAGAAAAAACACTTTGTATATTTGGCCAACAGATTGCTGATTTTTTATCTTTACTTACATTGATTTAAATCTCTTGAGTAAAACAAAAGTCACTGATTTTTCTCATTATCATTTCATTTTGATCACTAGTTAACAACTGGAAAATAAGCTTGGAGTTGGTAAAAATAGCACAGAGCTAGAGAAGGAATTAATATTAATATTTATAAAGTGCCTACTAGAAGCCAGGCATGGTGCCAGGTACTTTGCACATATAATCCCAACTAATCCCCATTAGGTAAGCGGTTTTATCATTTGCCTTTTACAGATTAAAAAACTGAGAGATTCACACAGCCATTAAAAGAACTGGGATTCAAGCAAGTTTCTAAGATTCACGTGTTCAGCATTGTCCCAGTGTTCAGCACATCTTCCTCCAATAATAACTGAAAAATAAAATGGGATATTTTATCTATTTTTCAGGGTTATATCCCCTATTATTCAGTAGACAAACTCTCTGCCAATATACGACCACCTTTAACTTGACTTCACATACAATCGAAAGAAATGAGGATCATTGAGGTGAAGAAATTAAAATTCATGAATCATACTGTAAATTTGACCTCCCTGCCACGACTGACTCAGATGTGCAGTGTTCCCAAAGAGCGGCTGAGCTATGTTTCACAAGAAAAGAAGGTCAAAGTCAGAAGACGGAAGCACCAATGTCCTTGGAATTCAGTCATGGAGGAAACAGATACTGTATATAGAACAAAGATGATTTAACGATCTTCTTTTATTCACAGATTGTTGAGAATACATCAGCTTGGCCCAGAATCCTTTTCATTCCTTTATTTGTTTAAAAATTTCACTTTCACTGGTAGTCTTTAGGTAGGTTCCTAGGAATTAAAAAACATGTACTCGTGTCTTAGCCAGCACAAATGTCTGGGGTTCACCATCACACACACTTTTTATCCTCTAGAAAAATCTGCTGTTCTCTGCCTTTCACAGACTGCTTTCGGTCTTCCTCCTCCTTCACGTGGAGTCTTGTGGGAACTGCCATTAAAAAAGAGAGAACAGTAACTAAAGTGTTTTCTTTTGTCCAAAATCACAATGCAGAAGCACTTTAAGAATAGGAGAAAGTCTTTCTGCTAGGCCTTTTTCAATAAAGCATTAATATTTATTAACTTGCACTCTGCTGTAGAATGAATGTTTTATGATCAAAAATGAGTAGCAACAAAATGGGAAATTCAACCACAAGAAACCAGTGATAGAGAACTCAGTATGGGGTTAGAAAACTACTGTCTCTGTATTTTAGGGGAATCTCATGCACTTATCTAGACAAAGGAGTAATTGATGACTGTTCCATGCGATTACTAGAGGCAATAATCAAAAAAGTTATGGGCTTCCTTTATCAATAAGAGCCAACTAAAATAAAGCTATGAATTAACGTCATAGTAATGCCACATTAACAAATGGGGCACATATTAATGGGACTGAAGACTATTTCAAAAGCTCAGAATTACAGACACATTTTATAATTTAATTAGGTCAATTCCCTGACAATTCAGAAAAGAGGATTTTTTTTTTTCAGTTTTGAACAAAAGCATGTCTATCTCAAATATGCCTATTCATTCATTCACTATTTATTGAGTACGTTTTATTTGCCAGGCACATAGCAATGTCAGAGTTTTGAATCAGCATCAAAGTCTAAAAAATGACTTATATGAGATCTAAATCACTTTGTAATTCCTTTAACAAACTATTCAATCTTACCACAGCTTTTCATAGTGAGTTATTACATAACTGAAAAAGAACAAGAGCATCTCAACTCTATAATTAATGTGCACACTGCGCAATGGCACAGAAATAAAAACCCAGTAGCATTTCTGTCCTGTCAATTTTGATGATTCAGTACAGTGATAGCTATACTGAGACCATACAACAATGAGCCTACTGAATGTTCCCTTTTCATAGTCTTCAGTGAAGTTCCTACTGAATATTTTAGGAGTAGATTTCCAACACATCATCTTATGTTTCCATTGGGTCTAAGCAGTGTGAGAAAGGGAACTAAACATAGATTTGGGAATCAGCCAGACCTGGGTGTCAATTCTGGTTGTGTGTAGTAAACTCTTGGAAAATTTACTTTACCTCTACATTTCTCAGTTTCTTCATCTATAAAATGAACATTACACCATAAACTCTGTAGGATTCTTGCAAAGAATATAGATAATGTGTATAAAGCAACTAGCTCACAATAGGTATTGCTTTTCTTTTTATACCAAAACTCTGAAAAACCTGCACACTGCAATTGTTCTATTTTAAGTAGTGTAATTCACCATGAATTACACAACAAAAAAGGTAGAATAAGAGGTGAACATTTTCGGCCTGATTCATATTTGTCTCATGAGATGATTATTTTACAATCAAGATTTCCATTTAAATAAGATATCTAATAAGAACAATGTTGATTTTGAATAATGGACCTTCAGATTACTGAATGGGTTTGAGAGAAAAGATCACATTACCTGCACTGTTCTCTAGAATCATGAGTGTTCTGCTGTGCCTATTACAGTATAGACATGGTAGAGAAAGGAAAGAAACAAAATAACTAGATTTAAAAATTATTTGGGGTTAATTAGCAAATAAAAGATTAACTTCAGTGTGAAACAATCATTGGTATGCCAGTTTTTGAGTACAATGAAAGCACGAACTCTATTTTCTGAATAAATAAATACTCCTTTAATCATAGTCTTGCTTCAAATGAAACTTTTACCATAAATCTTGCTTCTATCCCAAAGCAATACTAGGAAGAGGATGTAGACTACACTTGCACTGTACCAAAAAAATCATGTTCTTTCTCTCTTTCCTCTGTCTGAGTCTCCTTTTCATTCATATCTTATTCTCTTTTCTCTGACTTCTGCCTCTTCCTTTTGATACCTTGCAGGTTGTCCGGCCATACCAGACCATGTCCAATCCCATGAGCAAGCTCACAGTTCTCAACAGCATGCATTCCCATTTCATTCTGGCCGACAATGGGACCACTGGAAAATATGGGGCAGAGGTGAAACTCCGGAGACAACTGGAAAAGCATATTTCACTCCAGAAGATAAACACAAGTAAGTAGGCTGGGCTGCTGTTCTCACTGTCATGCCTCATGGGAAGTATGTCTAAAGTGAATAACTTTAAGTACACCATGCAGCAATATCATAAAAACTTGAGCAAGTTTTAAACACGGGCCATTATTTCTACTGGGCTAGTGGTTAGAATGAGAGGAAGACATCCAGAGGTGGACAAGTGGAAGTGTAGGAACTGATTACCCAATTAGTGAATGCAAGCTCATCTATCATGGGTAAAAAATTCAACCCCATCTGAGGTTTGTGAAGGCAGATAAACTTTCTTTCTAAACTTTTCCTACTTCTTTTATATGGTACTCTAAGGAGGAAAGGCACCCAAGAAAAATTGTTTTTATTTACTAAACTTTTCTTTTTGGTGGCCAAAAAAAAGAAAAAAAAATCAAATTTTGATCTTAGTATATCTCTGGCTATAGGAAGGCATTTCAAGGGAACTGAACATTCTCTAAGCTAAAGCATCATGTAAAATTATCTTGATGAAATTTTAATTCTGTCTCTTAATTTTATATATGTCTTCATTCATTGCCTCTAGATACATGTGTGTTTAGATATATGTGTATATGCATGCAAACCACGGAGTACATATCAAATGGTTACACTAACATCACCTCTTAAGTACGTATGTGCTCCATGGTGCGTAAACATTTGTTTTAACTGTGAAAAGGTAGCATCATAAAAACAGTAATGCTCCCCAGATCACTAAGTAGCTTGCATTTAAATGTAATTGAGGTATGAAAACAATCTACTGTCTTTCCCTACAAAACAAAAGTCATTTGTTTTCATAAAGTAACAGGTGAGGCTTCATAGCAAACTCGAACTTTGTAGTAATTACATATCCCATCAGGGAAACTTTGATCTAATTAATTGAAATTCCAAAGCCTGCCATTCCAGAGAACAAAAGATACTCTTTGGCTAGATTACTTTTCAAAAGTTCAGTGTAATGTGATTCAACTTGTCCAAATCCCTTTTCTCTTCTCTGAACTTTTCTCTGCAACTACCCCAAATGGGTCTTCCTTGCTATAGACACTTCATCCCAGAACTGGTATGTGAGACCTATCAGACCACACCTTCTCATCCTATACCCTCTTTTGTGGTTCCACCTTTTTTTTTTTTTTTTTTTTTTCTCACTTTGTTGTCCAGGCTAGAGTGAGTGCCGTGGCGTCAGCCTAGCTCACAGCAACCTCAAACTCCTGGGCTTGAGTGATCCTTCTGCCTCAGCCTCCCGAGTAGCTGGGACTACAGGCATGCGCCACCATGCCCGGCTAATTTTTTATATATATATCAGTTGGCCAATTAAATTCTTTCTATTTATAGTAGAGACGGGGTCTCGCTCTTGCTCAGGCTGGTTTTGAACTCCTGACCTTGAGCAATCCGCCCGCCTCGGCCTCCCAAGAGCTAGGATTACAGGCGTGAGCCACAGCGCCCGGCCGGTTCCACCTTTTAAAGACTATTACTGTTTAAGCAGTCAATTTTCGTACTTTCATATTTTTTCACAGTGAAGTCTGGGATAATAAATGTTGGCCTTGGTTTGAAATAAAAATTGTATTAGGAACCTCCCTTCCCATCTGTCTTTGGAAAGAAGAAACACAGCATTGTCCCTTGGTGAACATCTTCTGGGGGATAAAAATAAAGAGTAGAAAAGACTAGAAAACTGATCCAGAGACCAGCAGAGATCAAATGTAACAAAGCACTTTTATCAATGGGTGGTAGGGTTTTCTGTAACTATTAAAACTGAATTTCATTACAATAGTTGATGGAGAAGGAAGATGTTATGTAATCATTGTTATCTACTTAGGTTTTTTTATAGGCTACAGCGTTGTTTTTGTTATACCATCAGGTTAAAAATGAGAGCTTAAATAGGAGTAAGCTGGAAGCTGAAGGAATTGGGAGAAGGGAGACCAGGAATAAATTCACGGTCAAGTTCAGTACTCTATGGTAGTGAGACAGAATCTGCCTAGATGGGCAAAGCATGGCATTGTCCCTGGCCTGGCAGCTGAGCTGGCTAGTCGGTAGTGTGAGAGCAGAGCTGGATGTGTGGTTATGTAAGTTATGCACACAGCAAAGGGGTTGGGAGCTGGGGTTAAAACCCAGCCAGGGTTCTGTTAGTCAAGCTTTGTGCTTTCCTGGCTGCCCAGAGAAAATGGTACCTTCTTCTAATTGGTTATACCAGAGGGAGTGTCCTTTTGTAATTTATGTGCCTGGAGAGGTGCCTTTCTCCTAAGCTCGCAGAGGTGCTATATATGTGGGTGGCCATGCAGGGCAGGCCCAGGGAGCAGAGCCCAGCTGTGTGGAGCTGAAAAGCAGGCCACCACAGATGGTCAGGAGGTCAGTGAAGCTGGAGGAGCCACCACCAAATGCTAGTCGTTGGGTATATCACCAGGGACACATCACATCCTATTCATGGAGACATCAGCCCCTTGCTAGCTTATCAAAGCAGGTAGCAGCACAGGGGCACATTGACAAGTGGGGACAAAGTAGGGATCTAGGGTACAAAGTAAAGGAGAGGCATGGACCCGGCTCCCAGAGAACTTATTTTGAGGACTGTATTTGTGGTTTCATAGAAACTCACAGACTCCCGTTCAGTGAATATAATTAAATGGGAAGGGAGATCCCTGGGGTCACAGGAAGTTAAGAGGAACAGGGTTAGGAATTTGCCTGTGAGCTGTAGTGGATGATGTCAGGAGTTAGCTCCAGTTTCACCCCTGGACTTAATAGTGTTTGTTGAGTAACCAACTTGTACCAGTTTGCCTGGGCCTTTCTCAGATTCAGCACTGAAAGTCCCATGTCCTCGGGCCTCCTGGGCCCAGGCAAACTTAGATCGTGTCTTGCCCTTCAAGTGAGTGACTCATAAGTCATTAGCTCACCTCCTTCTAACTACGTTCACCTCCAAAGCAGGGAGGGAGCAGCAAGCTCCTCAGAGGGTAAAAAGTGACCCAGGCTCTTTGAAGTACATAGAGCAGGACCTCAAGGTCTCTGATCAGTTAGCAGCAAAGCAAAGTGCCCACTGAGAACACAGAGGCCCCCAGAACAGAGCTGAGAAGGACAGGTAAAGAGTTGACCTGGCCATCACGTGAAATAGCAAGAGTACGAATACAAACTTTTCATGCCATCCCCAGGCAATATTTTAGAACAGCAAATCTACTTTCTAATCCAGAAACTATGTGATTCTTCTTTCTAAAAATAAAATTTTATTCTATAAGTTCATCCTAAAAATTCCATTTACTTCTTAATTTCCTGCTTCAAAAGTTTAGGAAATCTAAATTACAAGTATGGAACTCAATTTCCCAAAAATGAGACACTATAGCACAATAACACTGTCTACCACCTCTTAAGCTCGGGATGGTCCCAAGGATGTCTGAACGTACTCAGTGCTTTCCTCATTGAAATGCCATCCCCTTTCCTCATCACCTACAGGTGACCTTGGTACTGTAGCAACCTATCAACAAGCCTGTTTCCTTCCATAAATGGCATACGAGTCTGAAAAATACTCCCCTTAAATATTAAGTGAATACTGCTCAGAGGGCCCATAAATCCTGTTCTCATCAACATGACAGTGATCACTGATAACATGACAAGCACCAGTGTTTGAGTTTGACCTTCTTCTCCACACTCTGGCTTTAGACATTTCATTGCAGCCCGCCCAACCCCCTACCCCCATGCATCCCTGCTGCCAACAGTCAGGACTGAAGCATTTTCATCGCTTATTGATGAGCTTCCATGATAAAAGGGAAGCCTTTCCGGACATGATCCGTTACCTGCTTCACAATGCTCTCCCGTCTGCAATTTTCTAAACCCCAAACTTAATATGCAAGGAACAATTCTCATCACTCCTTTAGCAAATAAATAGTTAGCTTAGATCTTTCTTATGCTTTAAGACATCACTCTGCTGTTGTGTGTAGAGATTAGACTGAGGTTAGGGACAGGATTAAAAGCAAGGAGATGCTTTCAGGAGGCAACAGCAATAATACAGGTAAGAGGTGACAATGGTTTGAGTAAGGATGGCAGCAGTAGAGCTAGTAAAAACAAGTTGCAGTAAAATATACCTAACCTAAAATTTACCATTTTAACTATTTTTAAGTGTACACTTTGGTGGCATTAAGGACATTCGTGTTGTTGTGCAACCATAACCATCATCCATCTCCGGAACTTTTTCATCATCCCAAACTGATACTCTGTACCCATTAAATAACCACCTCCCTTTCAGTCCCTACCCCAGCTCCTGGTAACCACTATTCTGCTTTCTGTCATTACGCATCTGCCTATTCTAGGTACCTCATATAAATGGTATTATGCAATATTTTTCCTATGATATATTTTGAAGATAGAGCCCAAGAAGGGTTGGTAATGAATTGAGCATTCAGGGGAGGGAACAGATACATCAAGGATGCTGCATAGTCATCCTTAGAGACACCAATGTATCCTTAAAACAATGACACTAGATGACAGCACCCACCGAGTAAGCTTTGATAGAAAAGTAAGGGGGATTGGGGACCAATCTCTAAGGAATTTGAACAAAGTCCTTGAGAAGATGGAAGGGGCGAAATTCCATGCACAAATGAAGAACAGGAGGGAAGGCAGAGTATGTGGACACGGATATGAGTAGGATAGAACATTGTCTGGTGGGAAGATCAGATGGTTCTTTATAGATAGCCTCTATATCTAAATAAAATAATATAGGAGGCCATTGGCTGAGAGTGTGAAAGACAAGGTGGTATTGGAGATTTAGAGACAGAAAAGAACTACATTCAGTTTAGAGACTAAGAGAGTAAACAAGGCCGGGCGCTGTGGCTCACGCCTGTAATCCTAGCTCTTGGGAGGCCGAGGCGGGCGGATTGCTCAAGGTCAGGAGTTCAAAACCAGCCTGAGCAAGAGCGAGACCCCGTCTCTACTATAAATAGAAAGAAATTAATTGGCCAACTGATATATATATAAAAAAATTAGCCGGGCATGGTGGCGCATGCCTGTAGTCCCAGCTACTTGGGAGG